TGCTCGGCACAATAATTCTTGAATTTATGGGAAGTATACTCCCCCCCCCATTATCTGAGCGAAGACACTTCAAAGGTTTACCAGTATGTCTCTCCACCATAGCATGGAACCTTTTGAAGTATTGAAAAACTTCACCCTTCGTTCTCAAGAAATACACCCACAATTTTCGTGAAGCATCATCAATAAATGTCACGAAATATCTGCTACCACCGAGACTCTCCACTTCCATGGGTCCACATACATCAGAATACACCATCTCCAACACATTATCTTTCAGCTTCGAGGTCTTGCTGAAAGACACTCTATGATACTTCCCAAAGAGACAATAATCACAAGGATTTAGTTTTGAATCTTTGGCAATTGGGATGAGGGACTTTCTTGCCAAAATTTGTAATCCTTTTTCACCAATATGAGCCAGTTTTTTATGCCACAAATTTGGCGAAGCATCATCTTCGACTGCAATCAATCCACCCTTGATTAGCTTCACTTGAGTTCTGTATAGTGTCGTTCTCACTGTACCTCTAGCAGCTAACAAAGATCTTTTGGTAAGCTTCCACGTGCTGTTACCAAAATTGTTAGTATAGTCTGCTAGATCCAATGCATGTACAGAGATCAGATTCAGACGTAAGTCTGGTATATGTCGTACGTCCTTCAGTGATATTGTGCACCCAATATCAGTTTGAATGCACACATCACCAACTCCCACAATATTTGCAATGCTGTTGTTGCCCATCTTTACTCTACCAAAGTCTTCTTCTTTGTATAGAGAAAAGAATTTTGTGTGAGAGGTTGCATGGTATGATGCTGCTGAGTCAATGACCCATTCAACACATGAATCTGCAACGTGACACTCTTCTTCTTCAACAAAGAGCAACACCACTTCCCCATTGATCACAGGGGTTGCGGTATTTTCATCATTCTCTGTCTTCTTGTTTCTCCAACCTCTGTTCTTCCAGGCTTTGTAGTTTCTTTTGATATGCTTTTCTTCACCGCAGTGATAACACTTGAACTTTCTCCTGGGTTGAGATTGCGATTTATCTCTGGATTTGTTATCCCGGCCTCTGCTTTTACTTCTTCCCCTGGTTTCTGTGACCAGGGCTTGGGAACTGCTTGCCCCTGAGTCTTTTCTTCTTGTTTCTTCATTAAACATACTGTCTTTGACTTGGGTCAAAGTCAGTTTTCCCTCAGGAGCAGAGTTGCTCAACGAGACCACCAGAGTCTCCCAGCTATCCGGTAAAGAACTCAAAAGTAACTACGCCTGCACCTCTTCATCAAGTTTCATTCCATGGTAACAAGTTGGTTCACCATGTCTTGAAACTCATTCAAGTGTTCTGCAACTGATCTTCCATCCCGATATTTTAGATTTACAAGCATTCTAATGACGAAAGCTTTATTCTGTGCAGTCTTCCTCTGGTACATTTGTTCAATTTTGTTCCACAGAGTAAGAGATTTCGACTCTGTGGCAACATGGTGGAATATGCTGATATCCACCCACTGCTGGATTAAACTGACAGCCTTCCTGTGTAATTTTTTCCAATCGTCGTCCTTCACATCATCTGGCTTGTTGTCTCCCTTTTCTACAGGATCATATAGATCTTTGTAGAAAAGTATGTCCTCTATTTTTGGCTTCCAAATGGAGTAATTTGTTGCTGTGAGCTTCACCATGGTACCAACGTTCTCCTCCATTTAATTTACACTGGTCGATACAGAGCCCAACTTGAGCTCTGATACCACTTGTTGGGCTCAGATGCGCAAATGCGGAAGGTGTAAATTAAAATATCAAGGTAAAATGGTAAACAATAATCTCAATCCCAACAACTCAAGAATGATAAAAGAAAATCTCTTGCAATAATACCGGATAAATCTTTTCTGATGTGGAAGTTCAGATTAAACTACGACCACTGAGCATACTAAGAATATCCCAAATAAATAAAATATGCAAGAAATAAAACACCAAGATTTAACGTGGAAAAACCTCCAAATAGAGGAAAAAACCACGGGACAACCTCCGAACAATTCCACTATATTTTCAAGATAATTACAATATCTTTTCACGCTCCCTTATAGTGACCCAGTGAGAACCCCACTCCTAAACAAAGAGTAACAGAGTTGATACCCAACCCGATGTATTTTTCCCACACTCACATGATTTACTCAAACACTCTATTTTTATCTCACTAAAAAATAACACTCCAAAAAAATTCCTTTATGATCTTTTTCTTTCTCGCTTCTTGGTGCATTTTGCATGCGACTGAATACCTCTATTTATAGTGAAAAGTATCACATAAAAACTGCACCATATAGCTATGTTTTTTCTTTCTGGTGGCAACTAAAGTTTGGCTGTTTGTGTTTGTGACACATGGTTGGATTCCTTTTATTTTGTTTGTTTATGTAAGTTTATGGCTGGAGACAACCACTACTTTGGCTGGATATGACATACCCCAATGAGGCCGTAGGAGTCGAGGTCCATGAGGAATTTTTGGTTGAAGAGGGTTGTGAGGAGGAGACGTATGTGGTGACTGTAAGCAGATGGACTTGATCCAAATCCTTCAAGGACAACGTTGTGAGAGAAAAATTATTTCCCGAATATTCAAAGGTTACAACCGTATTCTACATTTCTATCTATTCATCATTTTCAGCAAGCCCTAGCTGTCGCTGCACAACCAAGAATAGAGGAATTTCACAGGGCTTGCAAGAGGCCAGGCTTTGCTTATCTAGTTTGTGGGTACAACATATTTTGGATTCGATTGGATAAAGTTAGGGCTTGATTGTTTATGAAATAATTTGTTCAAAATGAGTTATTTTGGTTAACCATAGTTAATTTTGAAAAGGTAGTATGATTAGTTGTTAGTGGGATTTTAAAAATGTATTAAAATAATATTTAAAATAAAATGATTAAAATTGATTTGATATAAAATAAGAGATAAATGATTGGAAATGATTGGAAATGATAGGTAGTTAAAAATATGTGAGTGGATGAATAGTGAATTAAAGTTGATGTGATATGTAAGAATGATTGGTTTATATTATTTAATTATATGAATAATATTAAAGATAATGGGGTTGAGTTAAAGTTGAGTTAAATTTTAAGTTGAAATAAAAGTGAGTAAATTAATCCATAAACAAACAAGCCCATAGTTAACTATGAAAAAAAGTTAGAAAGAAGAGTGATCACACCATGAGGTCCGTGACTAAGGCATAGTAGGAGCTAATGTCATGTGGGCCAGGTGACACGACACAACTAAAATCGTATTTCTCCACAGTAGCACTACCGTGTGCCCTGGCACACCTAGCTAGGTGTGCCAGGGCAGATTTGCACGCGCCTCTCTCACCCCAAAAACAAGAAAATTTGGAGAGTGTAGTACACATTTCTATTTTTTCTTTTTTTAATTGAAAAATGGGACATATTATATAAATTAAAATATCATTAATTATTTATATTAAAAAAATAAAATAAAAATACCAAAATTCATAATTTTTCATTATCTATAAATAGAGACCACATTTGATCGGTTTTTGAACCCAACTAATTTTCTTTTTTTATAATTTTTCATAATTATTCGTAATTATTTTATTATACTGACATATAATGAACATGTTACATAATAAAATGAATATGTTTTCAAATATAATGAACATGTTACAGATTGCAGATTGAAATAATACATATTCATCTTATTTTATAACATGCTCACTTTATTGTGTATATAACATGTTCATCTTATTCTATAACATGTTCATTTTATCATGTAACATGTTCATCTTATTCTATAATATGTTCATTTTATTACGTAACATGTTCACCTTATTGTATATGTAACATGTTCATCTTATTCTATAACATGTTCATTTTATTATGTAACATGTTCACCTTTGTGCATGTAACATGTTCATCTTATTCTATAACATGTTCATTTTATTATGTAACATGTCCATCTTATTCTATAACATGTTATTTTATTATGTAACACGTTCATCTTATTTTAGAACATGTTCATCTAAATTTCATCTGTGAAATGTAACATTTTCATCTTATTCTATGACATGTTCATCTTACTCTATAACATGTTCATCTTACTATGTAACATATTCATCTAATTATAGATTTATGACACAATCTTTCAATAAGATAAATTAATTGTGTTTAAAAAAATATCAAATGTGGTCTCTATTTGTAGAGAATGAAAAATTATGAATTTTGGTATTTTCATTTTTATTTTTTTTATACAAAATATGAATGATAATTTAATTTATATAATATGATATATTAATTTTATTGCCCAATAGAAATGAGACACATGTTCCATTTAAAAAAAAAAATCCTTAGGGGGTGCTTGTTTATGGATTTTTTCAACCAAAATATTTCATTTTGTTAACTATAGTTAAAGTTGAAAAATTAATGTGGTTAATTGTTAGTGGAATTTAAAAAATATATTAAAATAATATTTAAAATAAAAATGATTAAAGTTGATTTGATATAAAGTAGGAGATAAATGATTGGAAATGATTGGTAGTTAAAATTATGTGAGTGGATGAATAGTGAATTAAAGTTGATGTAATGTGTAAGAATGATTGGTTTTTATTATTTAATTGTATGAATAATATTAAAGATAGTGAGGCTGAGTTAAAGTTGAGTTAAATATTTGAGTTGAAAAAATTGGATTGAAAAAATCCATAAACAAGCATGCCCTTACTAAGTCATAGACCCTTGGTGATGGATGCAGACAGGTCACCTCAAGTGCTTTTGGGAAGGGTGAATTTCACAAAAGGCCCTCGCACATATAGCAAGGTGTGTCAGGGCACACCTAAGTATTTGCCATTTCTCCACCCCTCAATTATCTCTCTCGATTTTCCCGAACTATTTATACATAATATAATATATATATAATAAATACAAAAAAATTCATTCAGAATTAAAGAGAGGAGAAAATTATTATAATTCGATTTGAAGAACCCTCTACACAACATTCGATTCTTTTCCAAATCTCGTACATTTTTTGATGGCTTCGAACTCCATAGCTTCAAGGCCACCCTCTTTGTTGACGAGAAACTTCAAGAATTACAGTGCTCGTGATTCTGCTATCTGCGGCCCCATAAAATCCCTCAATTTTCTACCTCCAATCACTCCATTTTTTTCCAAGTTCTGTTTGAAGAATGGGCCAACAATTTCTTCATCTGTTTTGGCTAAGGCCTCCTCTGCGTCAACTTCTCCTTCTACGAGTGTCCAGTCCCCAGAACTGAAGGTCCAATTTCGTTTTCTGTTAAATGTTTCACCAGCTGCATAAGTGTGCGCTTAATTGAACTGGGGTGCAATTTTCTTGGCTAAATTTGGGTCTGATGTTGTTTAGTGTTGATTTTTTCAGCTTGTTTTTATGTGTGCTTTTAGCTGCATCAATCAATGTAACTCTGTGTGCCTAGATTGAAGTGGAGAGTCATCTTTTTAATTGCTAACTGGGTCCTCTCTCTATATCTAGATTAAGACTGTGCCCACAGTGCCAATTGAGGGTCAGAAGACTGGTACAAGCGGCCTTAGGAAGAAGGTATAATCATCTTCTTTCTTATTTAAATTTGCTTATGGCTGGATTCGACATCGATTCATTATATTTGAAGAAGTTTGATGCTTCGATTATTCTTTAATTAATTGGGTTATGTTTTGCCTCTGCTAGGTGAAAGTTTTCATGCAAGATAATTACCTCGCCAATTGGATTCAGGTACTTGACATTTCAGGGGGTTGTATTCATTCCGGGTTCTTTTAATTTCTTCAGGAGAGAAATGAATAATAGAATGAATGAGACTAGGCCACAATTTTGGCAAACTATCAAAAATTTCAATGATTGAGACTTGCATTGTGCTTATGAGAGGTTTTATGTTCTATATCGAAAGGCATTGTTTGACTCACTGCCTCTGGAGGATTACAAGAACGGAACTTTGGTCTTAGGAGGTGACGGTAGGTACTTTAACCTGGAGGCTGCACAGGTATCTAGATTGAGCTGGATCAACTAACTGAGTCATTTGTTATGGCCTTTTCACGAATGATGATGTGAAAACTCCAAAATGCAGATTATTATTGAAATCGCTGCCGGCAATGGTGTTGGAAAAATCTTGGTTGGCAAGTGAGTTTCTTTGTTAAATTACTCTTAAGTTCTGTGAGAATGTATGGTGCTTCTGTACTTTTTCCTTTATTTTATTTTTGTGAAATTTTTATTTCTTTCTTTTTGGCTAGAGGTAATTTCTACTTCTGTTTGTTAATTACCAGGATTTTATTTGTCTGTCGGAAGTATTTGAAAATGTTTGACTGGATGACAATAAGTAGAAAGTTAAATTATTTGGCTGCAGGGATGGCATAATGTCTACACCTGCTGTTTCTGCTGTAATAAGGAAGAGGAAGGCAATATATCGATAATCTTTTTTTCTTTTCAAATATTTAAACTTCTTTCTGTGAGCTATAACCTGTAAATCTTATGATTAATACTCATAGGCTGATGGTGGTTTTATAATGAGTGCAAGCCATAATCCCGGTGGTCCCGATTATGATTGGGGAATCAAGGTATTTAACGGCTCTTACTAGTCATAGATGAGCTCTAGTTTTCACAATTATGCACTACTATAGTTTAATGTTGTTTAATTTTTGCTTATACAGTTCAATTATAGCAGTGGCCAACCTGCTCCCGAGTCGATAACGGATAAGATTTATGGAAACACTCTTTCTGTATGTATATTTTATTCAACCATCTTTTTGTACTTCATATAATCATATCTCTTAGCTGATCAGAATATGGGCCACTTTTCAAAAATATATTATTCATCAATAGGAAAAAGAAATGATTCAAAACAATGATATGCAAAACACCTTTTTCGTTATATTACATTAACAATAAGAAACAAAAGATAAGATTCTAATGAGATCGGCTTCTGGAGGAAATTTTTATAAAATATTGATATTTTTGGTATTGTGGGTTAATAAAGTGGTATTATCATGCTGCTTCTCTAACAGGTCCGTGGTCAATCTGCTTTCTGTTCCTTTTTCTTGGTTTCGTACTTCTCCCCTAAATCCCGAACATTTATCATTTTAATAAATTCTGCTTACATTTTGTTGGTATGATTTGAAATGAAGAAGTTGGCATATCATTTGAGGTAAATTTTGTTTGTTGAGAGGACCGAATATTCAGATAGTGGTAATCACTGTTAGGTCTACAAATGAAAAGATATTCACCACGATAATTTATTTATATACACACATATTTGCTTTTAAGATTACAATTTTAAAATTGTTTCTTAGATTTCTGATTTTGATGATTTTTTATCATGAACAAACAGTTCGGGATCTTTATTTGACTCGCCTTAAGTGTCATGCAGATATCTGAAATAAAAGTTGGAGATATTCCTGATGTCGATCTCTCTCGTCTCGGTCAAATAGACTATGGAACTTTTAGTGTGGAGGTAGTCGATCCTGTAGCTGATTATCTGGAGCTCATGGAGGTCAGCTGTTCACTATTCCATGTTTTCATAAACAGATTATTTTCCTTCACTTTTTCTGCAAATCAACATTTTTGCAAGATCTCCTGCAGAACGTATTTGATTTTTCGCTTATCAAGAGCCTTCTTTCGCGGGCAGATTTTAGGTATATATAATTATGCTTTGTAAATTGTAAGTGATTGTGTTTTCTGTTTATATTAGGACTTGCAGTTAGTGTTTGATGTTTGTGTGTGTTCTTTTATTACTCTGTGGCACTTTCAACTTTTATGTTTTGAAAGGTTAAAGATTTAAGTCTAACTTGATGGTGGGTGTGGGCTTGATGAAATATCAAGAATAAAATATGGAACCCCTGGATAATATGTTTCCTATTTAGTGTTGTTAGGAGATCTTTCTTAAATCGTATTAGAAACATTTTTACATTATAAATAATAGTGATTGTTTTTTTTTATTTCAAGGATACATTTTCATGATTGTGATCTATGTGATTTGCTTTTTACCTATGTGTGTCCTATTAATTTTTACCATATTCTCTTCATTTCAGTTAGTGCCTTTTGTTTGTTAGTTGTTCTTATGTTGTATGTCTTAACCATCAAATGCACGCAATGAATTCAATTTGGCAGATGAAATAAGCCATAGCCCCCATTTAAATGTTGTGCAGGTTTATATTTGATGCAATGCATGCTGTTACTGGTGCTTATGCTAAACCGATCTTTGTGGACAAGCTGGGAGCTAGCTTAGTATGTTTTGCTCATTATTTTTTTAATTAATTAAAAAAATAAATCCCCGAGGTTTGGCTATTTTAAAAATCACAATTTATCATTTAAACTACAAATCCCCTGTTACAGTGTTACAATTACCTTAGCAAATACCATTCTCATGAGGCTGCAATTCGTAAAATAGAAAAAAAAAAAAAAAAAAAAAAAAAAAAAAAAAAAAGATGTTAGGGGCTTATTGTGACTTTGGATGATAACTCGGCTCTTCTGTAGAGGCTAAAAGCTTGGGGTTTGATTAGTGATTATTGTTATAATTTTAAGATAGACTCTGAATGAGCAGTGCCTCATTCGTAATATAAAAATTACTTCTCAATTGCAGGATTCTATAATGAATGGAGTGCCTTTAGAAGATTTTGGACATGGCCATCCAGATCCTAATCTCACGTAAGCAATGATGCTTGTTGGCTGTTACATGCGCTTGTTTTTCGAATTAAGCATCATCGACTTTTAGCATGTTGCTTTAGAATTCTTATCATTTATTTCTTTCATTCTCGATTATATAATTGCCCTATTTTGTTCCCTTTTCTTGAATATAAATTATGTGATTGATTGACAAATATCTGTTTTGAAAAGATATGCTAAGGATTTGGTCAACATAATGTATGGAGAGAATGGGCCTGATTTTGGTGCTGCAAGTGATGGTATGTTGCTTCTTGTTTTGTGATGCATTGGGTTTCTGAATAACTTAGATTTCCATTTTTGTTAGTTACCTGTGGGACTCGTATGAATTGCCGATTAAATATATAAGTTCAAAATGCACATCGTTAACCATTATCACTCTGTGTTTTTTTTAGGTGATGGTGATAGAAACATGATTCTTGGAAAAGGGTTTTTTGTGACTCCTTCAGATTCCGTCGCAATTATTGCCGCCAATGCACAGGAAGCTATCCCTTATTTCAAGACCGGTCCAAAGGTTTGAAAACCATTATATTTATTCTCAACTTCTTTTTTTTCTCATAAAGTTCATGATTTCCCAGCTTGGCTAACTTACATAACTTATAGGGTTTGGCCCGATCGATGCCAACAAGTGGTGCTTTGGACCGTGTGGCTCGGCAATTGAATCTAGCATTTTACGAGGTTGGCATTACATAATTCCTTGCAATGGATTGCGACTACATTTAACAAAGAATATTTCCAATTTTTTGTTTCTAGTAAAAGTGATTTATGCAATAGAAGCTACAAATAGTTAAAAACTAAAAGTTGGTGGTTTCTGAAAAATCCATATGAGATTGTATGCGTATTTAAGGTAAGAAAGGTCATTTTCTCATTATGATGAATAAAATTAAGGATTTGGAAGTCACGAAGATACTCCTATTTGTTTATAACAATACCAAAAGTCATGTACCTATCAACCCCCGACTCTTATTTTTTGATTGAGGGATGCCACACCAAAGTAAAATCTAACATTTAAAAAATACTAAGAAGTGATTTTTCGTTTTTAACTAAACATTTAGAAGTACGCAGTTCTTTCCTGGAGACACCCTCATCTGTATAATATGAAGATTCTTGTATTTTGAATTAATCATATTCCTTCTAATGAACCTTTTACTTCAGGTGCCCACTGGTTGGAAGTTTTTTGGGAATCTAATGGATGCAGGAAAGTTGTCAATTTGTGGGGAAGAAAGTTTTGGAACAGGTTCTGACCATATCCGCGAGAAAGATGGGATATGGTGCTTACATACTCGACCACTTTCCACATAAAAATCCTTCATATTAATTATCGGTGCTTCTTGTTTTGGCTGCTTAAAACTGATGGTGCTGTTAAATGTATGCAATGGATTACTCTGTATGGATATATTTGAAAATAAAGATATGGGGTTAAAGAGATGATAAATCGTTTTCATTGCAAGCCACCTTTTTGTTTGGACACACTTGTAAATAATGGGCAAAAGTGAAAAGTCATTTAATTTCAGGGCAGTAGCAACACAATCATGCAAAAGAACATTTTGCGAACAGGCCCTGCAACTATATAAATATCTAAAATTCTGCTCTTGCGAAGTGTTCATGTCTTGCAAAATACAACCATGACTGGAGAAAGTTTCCAATTTCTATCAGGAGAGTCACACATGAAATTCCATGTTTCTAGTGAATTTTTTTGTACCAAAATGGATGATTTTGAAGTTACCAAACCATTCTACAAAGTGTGCATTTCTGCATTTGGTAGGACATAAAGTTTTTAAATATTTGCATAGCTGCAGGAATATGCTGCATTACACAGGATTTTGCCTGACTTAAATATATGTATAACTTCAGAGTATACTCAGATTAAACATTTTATTTTCCTGATAAGGCCCTGTAATTTGATTTTGAATTGTTTTTTCTCGCCTTCCTTGGTTTTGCATTTGTTTAGTTCGTATCACTATGTTTAGATGAATATTTTCACATTTTCCCACTCACCATCTATGTCGTTTGGAGATTGACCTAGTTATTTTCCGTCCAACAGGGCTGTTTTAGCTTGGTTGTCAATAATTGCATATAAAAACAAGGACAAGAAAGTTGGGGAGAAGTTGGTTTCTGTATGTGATGTTGTGACGGAGCATTGGGCTACATATGGAAGAAATTTCTTTTCTAGATATGATTATGAGGTAGGTATTGTTGATTTGTTTTTTTTTTTTTTTNNTTTCTCTTGTCCACCATGCTCTGACATACAGTTTCTTCTTCTGCGCGAGTTCATGTTCAGGAATGTGAATCCGAAGGGGCCAATAAAATGATGGAGTATCTTAGAGATTTAATATCTAAGAGCAATGCGGGAGACAAATATGGTACATTGGATCTCTATTCTACCGGAAAATTACATATACTACCTTCGATGGGAAAATAATAAATTATAATTAAAAAAAATTACTGTGACCTTCGATTTTTTATTTTTTCAAAAAAAAAATTAAAAAAATACTTCATTGATAGTTTTGATGTTTTTATTCTGGTGGCTAATGTTAGAAATCATGGTTCAAGGAATATTTGTAACTTAAAAGACAACTCTTTGTTCCTATTTATTCATTTGTTTATTTTAATTTAGTTATACTTCATGGAAGTTTCACGTAATTATCCTTTTTTTTTTTTAATTTTTTTTCAACACTGAGGAACATTATACGTACATTATTGCAGGAGGCTATACCCTTCAGTTCGCTGATGACTTTACCTACACCGATCCAGTTAGTTGAAGCTTGTTGGATATTGGTATTTTCTTGTTCATTAAAAGAAATGAAATATTAACATTAAATTTCCTATTTGTTCAGGTTGATAGAAGTGTGGTTTCTAAGCAGGGCATTCGTTTTGTATTCACGGATGGGTCCAGGATCATTTTCCGTTTATCAGTACATATTCAGCTTCTCCATTTTATCGAACTCAACTCTTCTTTTTTCCTGTTGTCGTTGAAAATAATCTTTTAGTACAATTTGTAGGGAACCGGGTCGGCTGGTGCAACTGTTCGGATATATATCGAACAATTTGAGCCGGATGCATCCAAACATGACGTGGATGCACAAACTGCATTGAAACCCTTGATTGGTTAGTCTTTTCTTCATCTCTGACTTCATTATATTCTGAATTTTCTTAGTTCCAAGAATTATAATCTGGCCATTTAACATATGAAAACTCTACGAGCTATTCATATGTATTCTTGGCCGCAGATCAAGGGGGGTGTACTCAACTGAGATTTCAAGTGACATTTTGAGACTTTTTTAGATTTTCTGATTTTGGCAGAATTCTATGAAAGCTTAAGTCTGGAGATAAAATTTGAAGTGAGATTTCGTATAAGGCTTTTTCTTTAGAAATCCCACCAAAAACTTAAAAAGTCTAACAAATCATAGTCTCAAATAAGTAAAAATACCTCAGAATTTTGTAAGACTTTTTAAAAATCTCAATTATATCTTGATACTTTTAAAAGTCTTAAAAAGTGCTAAAAAATCTGGATCGAACACACCAGGATTTCTAAAATCTTAAAAAGTCATTTAAAAGACTTTCAAGAATCGCCTATTTTGTTTCTATGCTTACCAACACACGTACAAATGTTGTGGTCGTATTATTAGATCTGGCGCTATCCACTTCGAAGCTGAAGGAGTTCACTGGCAGGGAGCAGCCAACTGTCATCACATAGGCCCAAAAATATCTTTGTGAGTGGAATAATTTCAATGTGTTGAGACGACGGCAGGTTGGGCTACGAGTATTGATATTGAATCTGTTAATGTTGGTTCATGTGTAACATAGGTATGCATTTCTTGTATACTTGTTTCTTGGCTTGTACCATTTGAACCATTCTCGTGATAAAAACAACCAATAAGGTTAGTCAATCCTATCCTATAGGCCTTGTTTGGATGTTAGTGGATTAGTGTTGAATTAATAGTTTTTGGCGCTCATTAGCTTGTTTGGTGAAGAGCTTATTTGATTAGTTTTTCAAGTCAATTTTGAAAAAGCTCAGTATAAGAGCGAGCGTTCTGAGAAAGAGTGGGTTATTATTATACATGTCAACATAAAATTTTCAAAATAACTATACAATTCGCTGTTTATTAAATAACTAGTACAACACCCGTGTATTACACGGGTGCTTGCTAATTTTTTTTCTTAAATCTAAAATTAATAAAATTAATAAGAAAAAAGTAGTTTGAAAATTTAAATACCTTTTATAAGAATATATATATTATTATATATTTATTGTAACACTTTTTATTTGTGCGACTTACTTGTGTTATATTATAATATTTTTTTTTTAACTTACAATATATAACTACATTACATATAAATATATCAATTGAGAAATAATTTTATTTTTCTAATGAATTTTAATAAATATTATTATTTTTTAATATTATAAAGATAAATATAATTTATTTATTTCATATATACAATATGAATGTCAAATTGAAGATCATCAAAAAATGATTAATTTGATATATTATATATGTAAAACCGATAAGAAATACAAAAGTTATCAACTTTTAAAATACATTTATAATTCAATAGCTTATTGAAGGAAACAAATCAAAATTCAGAGATATATTAGTCACTTGTTGCCTCATTATATAAAATTACAAAAAATTAAAGGGTTATATTAGTAAAAGTGATATTAACATACCTAAGTTAGCTAAATAATATTTATGGAATACCCGAACCTATATGATTAATTATTAATATATCAATATTATTCATCCAAACCTAATTACGAAGCATGATTATTTGCCAAATAGGATTCCGAAGCACCAGAATCAGCCACGTAGGCTCAGCGCATTCTGAAATTATATATAGGGAGGATTATTTACAAACCAATAATATGATACTATCCCCTATTTCCTAATACTATCTATTATCTGCTCTTAGCTAATGGTCAAATAGGGCAATATCTGTTATCTCATCTTGTTTGAGAAAGGAACATGGTCATTATTTTAACTCTTACCATAAAATTGATTTAAGCAGA